ATATTCACTTTCATCTTTCACATAGATATGAAGTATTTTATATAAATTGCGTGCTGTGTGTGCATATTTTCTGAATACTTGTTGTCTATGTTGGATGAAAGATTTTATACATGTTTTAAATGATTTAAACTGTATATGTATTTTATATCTACAAAATGTGTTGGATAAAACATGGGTAGATGTAATTGTTGGGTGTGATGAAATAAAATGATAAGATGCCTCGATGTTGACGATGTTTCCAGTAATCTAGCGGAGTATAGATGATGACCACAGACTTTTCTAGACAGTCCAGTGGAACGCTAGCAGGCTCACAACCTGTTTTCCAAAAACAAATGTTCATCAACTTAAGAAATAATCTAATTAATCTTGCAAAAATGGCTTGGATACCAACTGTTGGGGTTTTATTCAAAACTTGTTCCATAAACAAAAAGATAGTAACAAAATACTTTAATCAGAACAAAATAAAACTATTTTTATTCCCACCAAAAGATCATTTTGCAAGAAATTAGAAATATTATACATGATCAAATAATAAGAAAGTGAAATGACATTTGAAGACTTTAATTCCTTTTAGCAATTAGGAACTTGATGAAGATGACTTTAAGCTCTCTAGAAGTATCCCCCAACATTTAGCCAACTGGATAAGATGATAGTCTTCATCTTGTAATAAAAGAATCTCTTAAGCCTTTAAGAACAAAACAAAGTTTTTGTTACAAAGGTGAGTTCAACTAAAGTATCAAATTCTTCATATTTTGATCTTAACACTTTATGCGACAAAACTAAAGAGAATATGGAGATGAGAAGCTTAAAATTTCGTTGTTTTTGGCTAGTAAAAGAAGAGATACATGCAAGCCTTTTGATCATCTTAATCCAAGTCTTTAACCATTGAGTCTCGCTGCTTTAATACACCATGCATCTAGCAACAAAATGCTAAAAGTGTAATAGCATGGTTTTATCATTAAATAAATGTAAGCATGTCTTTTTTTTTTTTTCCTTTATAGTCTTCTTGAATATTCTATAAAATGGATAAGCTAGTTTTTCTATAAAAACTTTTTTAAATTTTATAAATTATAAAACATATAAATCCATATAAGACGAAAACCATTTTAGTCCAAAAAGATGTATATCACATAATGGATCTTACATTATGATATATTTCGATATATTTTGATAATTTACATTGAAACTTAATATTTCCATGAAATAAAGAATTTCAAATTAATTACAAGAGATATATTTATTTATCAATAATTAAATTCTTTTAAATAATATATTTTCATCAAGTTGTTGTTAGTGAGACCATTTAGGATCATATATTATATAGTAATATCATTTTATAATGGCTATTGAGCATATAGATCTTTCATCAACATCCTTATTAATAATACTGAATTGCTTTCCATGTATTAATATCCTTAGTAATAGTAAATTGCCTCATCATATATCACCATCCTTATATCAATTACAAGGAATTGCTAATAATGTATCCACTTTAAAAAATCGAAATGTAAAAAATGTAACTATAATAAAAAACCATTTATATATGAGTGAAACAAACATCGATCAGAAAAATGTTCAGGTCGAAGCCAAATGCAAGTTGTATTCGGAAGTTTGCATTCAAAAGGATATACCTATTTCTTTTGGTCAAATGATACGACCAATGAGTTGCATCATATGTTTTTTTCATCCGACATCAATGAAAATCTATTGTGTATTTCCACAGGTGCTAATAATGAATGCAACGTATAAGACAAACAAGTGTAACATGCATCTTCTTGAGATTATTGGTGTGACTTCAACAAACACAACATTTTCCATAGATTTCATGTTTATGGACAAAGAAAAAGAATCAAATAATACATAGGCATTAAATTGTCTTAAGTCCACATTGGGTGAATGTGATAGGCCACATGTAACCATGATAGATAGAGAATTAGCCTTGATGAATGCATGTACAAATATAGTCCTGACATCTAATTGGTTATTCTGTAGATGACACATATTCATAAATATAGAGAACCGCTACAAGATAACCTTAAATTCTATGTGGTCATCATTTAAAATAGCATGGGAGAATCTACGTGGGTCATCCTCAACGATAGCATATTTGAATAATTATGATTACATTAGATCAATATTGTTATGATATCCGCATTCACAACCCAAACATTTATTATAAAATTAATTTCTCTTTCTTCCACGTCCATAATACATTTAAACTTAATCTTTTACTCACATTAGCAATCTAATCCAATCCAAATTTATATTAAAAAATATAAAATTTATTATATCAGTATTGGTATCATTTTGTAGAGAAAAATTAAGCATGTATTTTGATATAAACTAGAAAGGTTACCCCCGCTACGCGGGGGCCAGAAGCTTTCAATGTTGTTTCCGGATTGATACATATGACAGACATAGAAAGTGCAAGGATGAAAAGTATGGGCTTTGCCCTGGACAAAAAATGTAAAAGTTTTGATTGCAAGGACCAGAAGTGTGAAAATGGCTAAAGAATTAATGGGGTAGGAATTAGCAACTTTTTAGAAAAGGATCAAAGTTGTCAAACCGTTAAAGTTTTGTAGCCAAACTTTAAATATTGGCCAAACTTTAAATATTAAAAGAATCCAAAAAAGTGTAAAAATATTGATTGTAAAGACCAAAAGTGTCAAAATAGGTAAAGAATAATGAGCAAAGTTGCCAAAAAAACATCCAAATTTCGTATTCCTAACTTCCAACAATAATACAGGGACAAATTCTACCAAAAAAATAAGAAGTTGAATGAAACACAAACAAAAGGACATGAATAAATTAGTTAAAGAAGTATAGGACCAGATATGTAAATCAAGAGACTAAACTTGGACAAAGTATCCCAAGATATGTAAATCAAGAGACTAAACTTGGACAAAGTATCCCAAGTTTACTGTTCTTTTCTTCCACAACTGTAATATATATATATATATATATATATATATATATATATATATATATATATATATATATATATATATATATATATATATATATAATCACTTAATTTTTTAATCAAAATTAAACACAATTATTAACAAAATCAAATTTTAATTCCAAAAACTATTTTACCTATACTATTGACACGTGGTTTTAGTTGTGTTTAGTCAATGATAATAGGAGGCAAGCATTCATGAGTCGGGGTTGTGTCACCGGCCTAGGTCAATAAAATTAATTTTGTATTCATTTTTTAATCTATAAACCGTGAGTGGCTCGTCAATATAAGCCTAACACGGGCAGTGTTCGGTTATCCATGTATTTTATATATATATATATATATATATATATATATATATATATATATATATATATATATATATATATATATATATATATATATAAAAGGGTTTAGAGTTTAGGGGTTATCCATGTATTATATATATATATATATATATATATATATATATATATATATATATATATATATATATAAAAGAACCTTTATTTTTAGATGTATATAAAGGGTTTAAGGTTTAGGGGTTAGGGGTTAGGGTTACCCTAAACCCTTTATAAACATCTAAAGTTAGAGGTTCTTACGGTTTTTAACCTTTTTTTTGATAAAACCATTGTATTTATCCAACCAAGTTCGATTGAAATAATTTAGAACAACTGCAAAATAAGACAAGTACAATGTTAGCATCAAATCATATATATATATATATATATATATATATATATATATATATATATATATATATATATATATACTAGCAGTGTACCCGCGTAAAGCGGCGGGGCGTGTAAATTCTTTCGGTGATATGTTTCCTCTATAAAAATGTTATGTTACAAAAGAAAGTACATGTCGAAGACAAAATAATCAAACTATGGTGCTATTTAGGAGATGAAGTCATTTTTTGTTCCTGAACGGTGGGCTTTATAGCAGAGGAGGGAACAAAGAGGTATATGCGATTGGAGGGATATTTGAATTAACATGCTAAATTTAAGGATATCTAAAAGGGTTCAAAATTTGAATGAATCCGGGATTTGAGGGAACCATATCAAATTGCTGAGAAATATAAGGAGATTTGATGATAAATATTTGAAGTCAAAATTTGGTTAAAATTTAATATTATTTTTTTAATGGTTACTTGTACTATCAGCTTCATCATTTGGACGTCTTAAAAAAATATTATTATTATAATCAATCTATTTTTAGAAATAGTTAGATTTCTTTTATAAAATAGTAAATATATATATGATTTAATGCTAACATTGTACTTGTCTTATTTTGCAGTTGTTCTAAATTATTTTAATTGAACTTGGTTGGATAAATACAATGGTTTTATGATTATGGATGAACAAAATTGTTCATTTCCATAACCACAATTATAACATAATTGAGAATCAACATTCCAAGTTAAAAAAATACTTGGATTCAACTTACTCCATGTTAGATATATATTTTTTTGACAATATTAAAGAAAAAATTGTATCATAATACACAGTTATAAAAGAAAATTTAAAAGAAGAAAAATATAATAGAAAACATCAATACATGGATCTATACTTCTTCAAAGAGTGGTTGGATAGAGTTTCGCATCATGCTTTACAAAAAAAAAAAAAAAAAAAAAAAAAAAAAAAAAAAAAAACTTGATTGACGTGACGTTAGATTTGTTGAGGCAGTTTATGGTTGTCAACTACACCATAGTTGTGGGTTACCTTTTGCCCATGAAATCATAATCTATTATAATATAGGCTAGGGATAATGACTTAGGTGGGTAATAACTTTTCTCATTTGTTCATTCTAGGTCCTTAACGTTTTTTTGTGTATATTACACCATTAAGGTTCTAATAACCGTTTATATATAGTCATTTAACCGGCTTCTTCCTGTTAAACCATTACGTGGATGATTAGTTGACATTATTAAGGCGTTGCGTGTGTATTTATCTCCATAAATTAGGGCAGGACAAATCCCCCATCTCTATCTCTTCACTCTCACTGTTCTTTCTTTGAGCAACCCCGATCATATTAGATGGCTAAAGATGATGCATTGGTCGTTGAAGTCCAGTACAATGGGCACTTCTTCCCGAGACCATTTATGTATTTTGATCCAGATAAAAAGGAGATGAGGTATGCTGATTTCAGGGACAAAGGGTATTCTGAGTTCATTGCTCACCTAGAGCTGATTACTAGAAGGGTGTGCAAAGATGTATACTATTGTCCAGACGGCCAAACATTGTGTCAAGGATTTGCCACATTGCAAAACGATTGTGATTATCATGAATCTCTTGAGTATCTTCATGACAAAAAGAAAGTAACTGTGTATGTGGACCATTTCCATGAACCCCTGTTTGACTGGATTGAAATGGAAGAGCCTAAAGTTGAAGATGATACCAACTCAAACGAAGATGAAGTTGACGTAATAGATAAAGAGGTTTGGGAACACGAGCTGGATGATGAGGAGTTTTCTATGAAAAGGGCACGAGCAAGTATTCAAGGTATGCAGAAGAAAGACATGTTTTTGAACAAACTTTGCCCAAATGATGAAGAGGAAGAAGATCCTACTACTGAGCAACTACCTCCTGTATACCCTGTGCACAATTTTGAGCAAGAATGGGATCAAATGGCTCCTGTGTTAGGTATGAAATTCACAAATCCTAGTGAACTCAAACATTGTCTTACCAACTATGCTGTTAAGCATGGTTATGATTTGTGGTATGAAAAGAATGATAAAAACAGACTTTTAGTGAAGTGTTGCAAAGGTAAAGAACCTACATGTCCTTTTAGGTTATGGGCTTCTTGGATGCAAGAGGAAAGGACTTTTCAGATCAAGTCACTTAAATCAACTCATAACTGTGGTAGAGTTTTTAAAATAGGCTTAGTGACTTACAAGTGGGTAAGGAAACAATTTTTCAATGTACTTATAGAAAACCCCAAGCTTAGTTTGAGGAAGATGAAAGCTCAAATATCAAACACATACAACATCATAGTTAGCATTGGACAATGTAGAAATGCAAAAAAGTTTGCTTTGTCTGAGATTGAAGGTACTTTGAGAGAGCATTATAGTAGGTTGTGGGACTATGGCATTGAAATCAAAAGAGCTAATCCAGGATCAACTGTAAGCATGGAAGTGGACAATATGCCTGATGGAAGTACAATGTTCAAACGGTTCTATGTATGCTTCAGAGGTGTAAGAGATGGTTGGGTAGAGGGGTGTAGAAGAGTCATTGGGATTGATGGATGCTTTCTCAAAGGAATTTGCAAGGGTGAACTCTTAGTTGCAGTGGGTAGGGATTCCAATAATCACATGTTCCCTATAGCTTGGGCTATTGTAACTGTTGAGAACAAAGAAACATGGAAATGGTTCCTTGATCTACTGATGGATGATATTGAAAGAGGCAATGGAAATGGACTTACTATTCTCTCTGATGGACACAAGGTACTACTCATGTTTACTCTTAACTTTATAGTTTAATAATTATTTAACATTATAAATTGGGCAGGGTTTAATTGAAGCTATCAAGGAAAGGGTTCCTCATGCTGAGCACATATTATGTGCTAGGAACATACTAGCTAACTTCAACACAAGTTTCAAAGGTGAGCATTTTATGAAGCCTTTTTGGAAGGCTGTGAAGGCTACCACAAAACATAAACATGAAGCTGCTATGAAAGAGATCAAGGAATTAGATAGTAGGGCATTTGATTATCTCATGGAGAGGGACCCTAAATGTTATTGTAGGGCTTTTCAAGTAGAAGGGGTATTCTGTGATGCTATTGAAAATGGAATTTCAGAGAGTTTTAATGCTGAAATAGTTGAGGCTAGATGTGACAATCGTCAATCTTGAGTCAAGTCAAATCATCAAGTCAAGACCGGTCAACTCGATTAAACCTTGTGTATTAGGGTTTGTGTTATGTTCATACTGTATAACTTGCTATATTAATGGGAAAACATCACTTGAGAAAAGTCTTGTGTTAAAAATTTCCTAAACCCTAGTTCTAATCAATGAACTAGAACGATAAAACAATGTTGCATACTCATCGGGAGTGTGTAAGATCCTTAAACAAGGCATAACAGGGTTCACGAACCATACATTTCGATGCCGGACACTCACAACTATCCCACATGGAACCTCTCTCAATCGTTTCCACACTATCTCTCTCTATGTCAAACCTCTCCCAAATCTCTCCAAGTATGCGAAATCTCTCTCAAATATCTCTCTGTATTAGAAATCTCTCCAAGAATGTCAAATCTCTCCCAAATCCCTCTAAGTATGTGAAAACTCTCGCAAATATCTCTTTGTATGAGAAATCTCTCCAAGAATGTCAAATCTCTCCCAAATCTCTCCAAGTATGCGAAATCTCTCTCAAATATCTCTCTGTGTTAGAAATCTCTCCAAGAATGTCAAATCTCTCCCAAATCCCTCTAAGTATGTGAAAACTCTCGCAAATATCTCTTTGTATGAGAAATCTCTCCAAGAATGTCAAATCTCTCCCAAATCTCTCCAAGTATGCGAAATCTCTCCCGAATCTCTCTCAAATAGTTCCCGTAACTTTTTAGAATCATTCGGGTCATTCCGACGCTTAACCGTGTCAAAAACAGCTTAAAACGGGGTAAAAACGAGAAAAATAGACATTAGGAACCGAAACCAAGAGAGAAGCTTCTTAGGACCCGAAGGTCCTCTTAGGGACTGAGAGCAAGAGGAGCCGAACCGAACCCTCCTGATGCCGAACCGAACCCTCCTGAGCCGAACCCGAAGGTACTGTTCACCACTAACCGAAACCGAACCCTGCTCAAGAGGAACCGAACCGAAGGTACTGTTCACCAACCGAACCGAAGGTACTGTTCACTACTGTTCACTACAGTACGTTCGGTTCTGACATTCTCGCCTCTTATTCCCGAACCGAACCCCACTGACCCTTCGGACCGAACCCTCGCCCATCGCTTCTCGCGTCTGACTCGCCCCTTTCGTTTCCCTCTGTTCGTTTCCGGCTACAGTCCTCAGCGTGGACCGGGTCTCGGCCTAGGGACCGAACCTCGGCCTAGGACCGAGAGGTCTCGCTGGGAACTCATTTTCTCCCGGTTTTCGCGTAGTTTTGCGTTTAAGGCCCGTTTTTAATTATTTTAACGTGGGAATTTCACCCAAAATCATATTTTAACATAATAAACCCTAAATATTCACAATTTAATCATATTTTCATAAAAATCTTTATTTAAATAATGAAAGCAAGTGGGTAAAGTACAAAGAGGTGGAGTGTTGACTTTGCTTTACCTTATAACACAAGCAACCACTCCCACACCCACTCTATGACCAGCCACACCTCCCCACCTTACCTAGGTCACATCAATGTCTTTCCACTCAATTATCCCTCTTTCCCACGTTTTTGAGTGCTGAATATTCATCCTCTCTCCTCACTTCTCTCATTTGCTCTCATTTCACAAGAAGATCAAACTCTTTCCTCTCTCACTTTCTCTCTCTAGAAATTCGAGATTCAAGGGCTGATCTTGAGTTTTTCCTCCACATTTGGTAAGCATAATCCATTCTCTTTATGATTATCTCATTATTTCCACTCAAATCATGGATATCTTAAACAAACTCTCTCATAATTGTGTTAGATCTTCGAATCTTCAAGTGATTCTTCAAGTGTTCTTGGGTTGAACACTTCTCTTCTTCAACACTTACCTACTGAAATCACTTAAGGTGAGTCATACCCCTACATTTTCATGTTTTCTCAAGTTTTCAGGGGGGGAATACAAGTTAAAACACTAAGAACATAATTAAATTTTCTAACAGCCTTCATCAGAAAAGTTCAACTCCATTCACGGACTGTTTTGGGCATCTTAAACATTTTTGTTTTCAAAACTGTACAAGGTGCAAATAGTTCAAGTTTGTAGCTTTAAAATGACTACTTGCACATCTCCATACGATTTTTCTACAATTTATGGTGATTTTTACAAAACTGCCTATCATTTCAAACAACAATCCGGACCAGTCTGTGATTATGGACATTTTCACCCAAGTTGGAGGTCATTAAAAATCGTGATAAAAATTATGAGTAAACTAGACACATTTTGTGAACTCTCAGAATTTACGGATCTAGTTTTCGACTTCGTATGATTTTTACAAAACTGGGCAGAATTGCTAAAGTTAGCCAACAGCATGTAAATATCATAACACTTTGTAATATGTTGAGCAAAGTGTATAATCATAAGTTCTAATATTTGAATGTGTTTCCTTGTTAGTTTATCATTGTGAACTGAAACTAAGTTATTCATATTAAATATTATTCATTCATTTAGAACACGTATTATGTAACTATAAAAAGTATAGTTGGATAAATTCACAACACTAATACATTTCCATAAAAAGAATTCATACATATTATATACATTTTAGATAAACTATAATAGGTATAGTTTATGATACATCACTCAACACACTCGTACAAAAAGGGTACATTCATACAAGAAAGATTTATATCCACACACATTTCACGTAAACTTGTTAACCTATGTTGTGAGACTCTCTCTCCCCGTACGTCCGAGTGCGGGATATAATTCCTGGTAGTTATAATCAAAATCTCCTTGAGGGAGAACGTGATACTTGTATATAGATCTATATTGGGTTTGACACCCCACACCTTGCTGCTAGCTACAGTGGGACCTGCAGGTCTACGGGTGACAAATGTCATTTCATTTTCGCGACGCCTGAGAAACGTTGTGGCAGGTTCACATAGTCACAGTATGATTATAGCGACTCACCTAGGGAGATAACAATTCATAAAGTTTACGGGGTTTCATAAAACCGAAGTAGGTTTTAGATTGATAAAGAAATTTACTTTCCATATCATTTTAAACTCACGACGTTTCTACTAAGAAATGATGATTTCTTATACATTTTAGTCTTTGGTTATAAGGCTACATTTTTCGGATTTCAAGGAAAATATCGGATTTTTCTGACACAAACGCGACATTTACATGTGATAGACTTCTACTAAGTTTATTAATAAAAGCTTATGAACTCACCAACCTTTGTGTTGACACTTTTCAAACAACTCGTATTCTCAGGAAAACACTAAACAGGTAATCAAGTGCTTTTGAGGATGGGACGTTAAGACGTCAAACTTTTCATATTTTGTCAACATATTGTAATTGATTTTGAAACATGTAATTCATACAAGTGATGTAACTTTTTCAATTATATATATGTTGGTTGTGTTTGCTTAAATTACTATTGAAATTGTGGTTATGATACTATACATGAAGTCCTCCACCCCCGGACGTTTCCGCCATCCTTGGTTTGGGGGTGTGACAGATTGGTATCAGAGCACGGTTTATAGTGAATTAAGTATGTCAAACCACATAAGATATACAAACTATAAACACATTTGGGACTAAAAGTCTCTGATTCTTAAAGTGATTTAACGAGTTGTACTTTTAGAAAACAAATAATTTCTTGTTTTAAAGTATACTTACATGCATTCTATACTAGTATGGTGTCATATCTTAGGAGAACATAAATTGAAAGAGGAGGAGTCGAACATTATTAATACGCCTTAGCATGTGTAATCAGTTCTGGGAGGGATATAGCCTGATCAACTATATCCGTCCAAGAAGTAACTTACGCACACTAAGGAATAGTCGTAATGAGCGACAAATCTGAAAACCTAATTACACTCCATAAAGAACACACTAAGAACCAAATATAAACATTTAAAAATACTATAGGAGTATTTGTGCGTTTCTATAGTGCCCGATTATTATTTTCCGATATGTGCTTCTTAACCCCATTTCTCGTGCAGACGACATGGCAGGATTTCACATACCCGGGGACCCATATTTTCCCAATCGGGGAAACGTGGGATGGATCGATGATGAGCCTGAGGAGAATCCCGAAGAGGATCCTGAGGAGGATCCCAAAGCGGATCCCGAGGAGGATCCCGAAGAGGATCCCGAGGAGGAGCCCGAGGAGGAAGACAAACAAGAAGAAGAAGAGGAAGACGACCAAGAAGAAAATGAAGAAGAAGAGGAAGATGACCAAGAAGAAAATGAAGACGAAGAGGAAGAAGAGGAAGGTGATGAGATAGTCATGTTTGGGAACGAAGCGGAGGAACCACCAGAAGTATTCAACCCTCCCTACATCGCGAGGGTACCCGCGCACCGTTTTGGATACAACGGACCTGAACCCCCTTGGGTAACAACGATCGAAAGATGGAGCCGACAACAACGCCAGCGGTCACCATATGGCTACCAACGAGGTTACTATGATCTCACTCATGGTGGACCGGCTGACAGAGCTCTCCCCGTCACGATACAACGAATAGCAAGAATGGATGATCGTGGTAGGACGACGACCGATCAGGTCCGGGAGTTAAGTGCCATCGTACAGTCTACTACTGATCGCACCAGAGACCTGGAACGAGACTCCCGCCACAGAGACCAACTCATCCAAGATCTTCTAGCAGCTCAAGCAGAAACAAGAGAGTATCGGGAAAGATACATGGCTCTCGAAGAGAGAATGGTTGCAGCCGAACGCAATTGGCGGAACTACAGGGCGCATCGACATCATCGCAGCCTCCGTCAAAGAAGGGTCGCAGTGATTAGAACTCATTACTATTCTTATGTTTTGGTAGTAAAATTTTAGGAGTATGCGTTGGTGTTACTCTTTGTATGTAGGTCGACCCTGCGACTATGTGATCACACTATTCAAAGGGTTTTTGTAATGCCAAAAACTATCTTTTGTAACGATGTAATGTAGACCCTTATGAGGTCAAACTTTTCCCTCTAAAGTTATGTACTAAAAGTTATCAATGAAATTTGGCATATGTTTTATTTATTGAATATTTG